ATGTGGGTTAGAAGAGGTCAAGGAGGAAAATAGGGGGATATCTATAACACTTTCAACAATAAAGATTTTTAAAAAACACACAAAAAAAACTATAATTCTATTATTTCCAATTGTTCCTCTAATGTGACTCTGGATTCCAAAGGACTACAAGTACAAATTTAGTAGGTTAGTCCCAAAAAAACCATAATTCTATTATTTCCAATTGTTCCTCTAATTGTGACTCTGGAATCCAAAGGACTACAAGTACAAATTTAGTAGGTTAGTCCTGAATAAAGTCTCTTTTTGGAAGATGTAACGGTCTGATTTCTCTTTATTCTCTTAATACTGTACACATTTTTCTAATAAAAAAATTACACTTTTTTTTTCTGGACTAAGATTTATGAATAACTGCCAAAATTTTAAAAATGGTTTGAACAAAAGCAAATTATTAGCAGACTGGCAGTTTTTATAATTCCACAATTATATTTCCATCTAATATTCCTTGCCCATCGCCAAAACACTAGCAGTCTCAGAAAACATCAATGTTAAGTAACTTTCTTTTAGACCATACTAATTTTACTTTCTCAACTTCAATTCACAGTATATTGTGGAATTACCCATTTCAACATTAATAAGGGTTAAAGGTGCGCTCTGAAATATTATCTTGGACCTCTTAGCTGAGTTTTGTTCACGTTTTGGAGATCCTATTTGGTACAAGTTGAGTCAGAGAAACCTCCCTCATCTCTATCTCTGTGTCTATTGCTATCCTAGACTATCTCTGTCTCTATATATCAGCATCTATCCGTAATCTTTAACTAGACCTATACGTTTTTGGATTATGTCCTCTCTGCTTAGAATGTCTCATGACTCATTTAGGAAAAAGGAAGCAACCCACCCACATTCTAAAGTAACTTAACCACAAGCTGCTGAGGCTTCTGCATTAACTACAAGACTTAATGCTGTAGAAAATCCCCCAAGTTAAAGCCAAAGCATCCCCAGAAAATGAAAGCTGCTTATACTTTTAAGTTTGTTTGTTTCTTCTTCCTAAAAATCTTTGATGGTTCGGTCAGTTATAAAAGTCCATCCAGAACTTGAGTTAATATATATTTGTAACTATACTCAGAACTCTCTGTTTACCTCTATTGACCTCTCCACTACTCACAAATGTGGCACAAATTTCTTTTGCTTTTTCTTCCTCACTCTGTTCTCCATTAAAACCAGGAATTCAAGAATGAGGATGTTCTGAAGGGCAGACTTCACAAAACTGACCT